GCCTGCCTCAGCCTCAGCCCAGCCTGCCTTCAGTCTCAACATCAGTCTGCTTCAGCCTCGGTTCAGCCTCCGCCTGTCTCAGCCTCAGCCTGCATGCCTCAGCCTCCATCAGCCTCAGCCTCAGCCTCAGCCTGCCTCAGCATCAGCCTGCCTCAGCCTCAGCCTCAGCCTGCCTCAGCCTCAGCCTCAGCCTGCTTCAGCCTCAGCCTCAGCCTCAGCCTGCCTGCCTCAGCCTCAGCCTGCCTCAGCCTCAGCCTGCCTCAGCCTCAGCCTGCCTCATCAGCCTCAGCCTCGCCTGCTTCAGCCTCAGCCTCAGTCTGCCTTCAGCCTCGGCCTCAGCCTCAGTCTGCCTCAGCCTCAGCCTGCATCAGCCTCAGCCTCAGCCTCAGCCTGCCTCAGCATCAGCCTGCTCAGCCTCAGCCTCAGCCTGCCTCAGCCTCAGCCTCAGCTGCTCAGCCTCAGCCTGCTTCAGCCTCAGCCTCCTTCAGCCTCGGCCTCGGCCTCAGCTCAGCCTGCCTCAGCAGCAGCCTGCCTCAGCTCAGCCTCAGCCTGCTTCAGCCTCAGCCTCAGTCTGCCTGCAGCCTCGGCCTCAGCTCAGCCTGCCTCAGCCTCAGCCTGCCTCAGCCTCAGCCTCAGCCTCAGCCTGCCTCAGCCTCAGCCTCAGCCTCAGCCTGCCTCAGCCTCAGCCTGCCTCAGCCTCAGCCTCAGCCTGCTTCAGCCTCAGCCTCAGTCTGCCTTCAGCCTCGGCCTCAGCCTCAGCCTGCCTCAGCCTCAGCCTGCATCAGCCTCAGCCTCAGCCTGCCTCAGCATCAGCCTGCCTCAGCCTCAGCCTCAGCCTGCCTCAGCCTCAGCCTCAGCCTGCTTCAGCCTCAGCCTCAGTCTGCCTTCAGCCTCGGCCTCAGCCTCAGCCTGCCTCAGCCTCAGCCTGCATCAGCCTCAGCCTCAGCCTCAGCCTGCCTCAGCATCAGCCTGCCTCAGCCTCAGCCTCAGCCTGCCTCAGCCTCAGCCTCAGCCTGCTTCAGCCTCAGCCTCAGTCTGCCTTCAGCCTCGGCCTCAGCCTCAGCTGCCTCAGCCTCAGCCTGCATCAGCCTCAGCCTCAGCCTCAGCCTCTCAGCCTGCCTCAGCCTCAGCCTCAGCCTCAGCCTCAGCCTCAGCCTCAGCCTGCTTCAGCCTCAGCCTCAGTCTGCCTTCAGCCTCGGCCTCAGCCTGCCTCAGCCTCAGCCTGCAGCCTCAGCCTCAGCCTCAGCCTGCCTCAGCTCAGCCTGCCTCAGCCTCAGCCTCAGCCTGCCTCAGCCTCAGCCTCAGCCTGCTTCAGCCTCAGCCTCAGTCTGCCTTCAGCCTCGGCCTCAGCCTCAGCCTGCCTCAGCCTCAGCCTGCATCAGCCTCAGCCTCAGCCTCAGCCTGCCTCAGCATCAGCCTGCCTCAGCCTCAGCCTCAGCCTGCCTCAGCCTCAGCCTCAGTCTGCTTCAGCCTCAGCCTCAGTCTGCCTTCAGCCTCGGCCTCAGCCTCAGCCTGCCTCAGCCTCAGCCTGCCTCAGCATCAGCATCAGCCTGCCTCAGCATTCAAAATGTGGCCCGGGAATGGAGTTCTGGGAACTCGAAGAACACGAAGTGGCCTACAGTTGGCTCCGGGCATTCAAAATCATGCCCAGGAATGGAGTTCTGGGAACTCGAAGACCACGAAGTGGCCTACAGTTGGCTCCGGGCATTCAAAATCATGCCCAGGAGTGGAGTTCTGGGAACTCGAAGACCACGAAGTGGCCCACAGTTGGCTCCGGGCATTCAAAATCATGCCCAGGAGTGGAGTTCTGGGAACTCGAAGACCACGAAGTGGCTTACAGTTGGCTCCGGGCATTCAGAATGTGGCCCGGGAATGGAGTTCTGGGAACTCGAAGACCACGAAGTGTATAATTGTTTGCAAAAAAAATCCCCGGCACCCTCCCCCAGATCGCGCCCAGACCCCCTTGGGGCGTCATGATGTTTTCTTTTGACCCTAGTAGAAACCTATCAGTCTTCGCTGTTAGGTATAAAAAAGACGGGGCGAAGCGCGCGCGCGTCGTCGCGCGCGCGCCGGAATCCGTCGGCAACCTGCGGTTTCGCAGCGATTTCAAAACCGAATGTCAAACAACATGCAAAACAAAACACATGGTTTCGCATTCCCAAAACCTTCATCGCCGACGCGATGACGAGGTCATCGTCGTCGGCACTATCATCATCGCGTCTACCGTTGCCGACGTTGCCATGATACCGCGCCCGCCCAAGTCGCCGACTCGCAGTGAAGCGCCCGCTGGGCTGCGCCCGGCGGTCAGCGCCACCGCGGCCGCTTCGGCGGTGCCGGACGAGCTGGCCGCCGCGCGCGCGTTCTAGGGTTGGCGCGGCCGCAGAGATGCACCAGCCAAAGCCAAGCATGCATCGCAATCGCCACCGCGTGGGTTTTGCAAACCAAGTTGCGGGTGGGTGGGCGGGATGTTTGCAAGAGCATGGGATGTGTCAACTCCTGTGTTAAAGCCAATTTCCCTTTCTAAAAAAAAATAGGTTCTACTGCCCCCCCCCCCCGCCCCCCAGACTCAACGATTCATTTTTTCGCATTGCAATTTACACATGGTTCTGGCCCAATGTCCATCCGACCCGCGAATTCACATTATCTCAGCTAGGCCGGCATCGCCCGCCCCGCCATCATCTGCAAAAAATACGCGCGTACACTCGTTCATCACAAACCATAAGTTTTCAAGAAATCCGGCGAACTAATGGGCGCGCGCGTCGTCGCGCGCGCGTGCCGGAATCCATCGAGAACCTTCGGCTTCGGAAGGACTTCAAAATCGAGTGTCCAAAACATATGCAAAAACATGGCGGCACGGATTTTCAACGCAGACAAAAAAAAGAGCGCGCGCGGTCTTCCGATATCTAGGAGAAAATGGTTTGTCAACACTTTCAGAACATACTATTAAAAAGGGTCTTCGCGCGCATGTCGAAATCGTTCGAACACCCTTGCGCGCGTGCCGTCGCGAGAATCATTTTACAAAAAACGGGGCGAGCAGTGCGCTCGCGCGTCGTCGCACGCATGCCGAAATCTTTCAATAACCTTCCGTTTCGTAGCGAGTTCAAAACCAAATGTCAAAAACACATCAAAACACAAGGTTTCGCAACATCCGTTGTCCCAGAAACGTGCGGTCGCGCTCTTGCGAATTCTTAAGACAACCATAGTTGCTTAATGTGCTCATGGTATCCTGCCAAGCGGGCTTCTCGCGCCGCATGCCGACATCATTCGAACGCCCGGGCGCGCGTGCTGGAGGGGGGGCGCGATCCGTTTCAAATAGTACCACGCGGGCCACTCGCGCGTCGGCCGCGAGCGCATGTCGAACTTTTCCAAAACGTTCATCGCCGACGCGAGGGCGCCGTTTTCGTCGTCGGCGCGATCAGCATCCGCGCCGTCACTGGCCGTGGTCGTCGCTGTCAGCATCGCCACCAACATCGTTGTTATCATCACCGTGTCTACCGTTGCCGACGTTGCCATGATACCGCGCCCGCCCAAGTGGCCGATTCGCATTGAAGTGTCCGCTGATATGTGCCCAGTTGTCAGCGCCACCGCGGCTGCGTCGGTCGCGTCAGAGTGCATGCGCGCGCGCGTGCATGCGCGGGCTGTCGCGGCCGCACAGATGCACCAGCCAGCGCCAAGCACTCATCGCAATCGCCGCCGCATGGGGTTTGCAAACTAAGTTGCGTGTGGGTGGGTGGGAGGCTTGCGCGAGCAATGGTGTGGACAATTTCACGTTGAGCATTGATTGCGTCGCGTAGATTGCGCCACATAAAACCATACGTTGACCCACGCGGATGGCACAACATATATAGCACCACGAACATTGCACAGCATATATTGCACCACGTAGACAGCACCGCATATGTTGCTCCACATGTCTTGTACCACGCGTATTGCTTCACAAAAACTACACAACATAGATTGCGAGCAACACAGCGTTTGGGGTCCACGTTGGGTAACAGTATTGTATGTGTATTCGTGTGTGTAGGTGGGCATGTATGAAAGAAACAGCAGGAGAGACAGATAGAGAGAAAGAGAGGGTGAGAGAGGGACACAGAGCACAACAATATAAGAGAGAAAGAGAGAGAGAGAGAGAGAAAAATAGAGAGAGAGAGAGGGTGCGTTCACTGTGCGGGTCGTTCCCCAGACTTCCGCGGAGGAGAAAGAGAGAGCGGGATTGAGAGGGCGGAGAGGAGGCGGGGACCCATAAGTCCGACGTCGTTTTTTTCACAATGTCGACCCCCAAAGGTTTGGACCCATTCCACTGGACCCGCCCTTCGTCCTGGGCTCTTGTGGTTGCGGCTCAAAGAGCCTAGCGAAGGGCCCTCGGACCCCGAAATGGCGAAACATTTCCCGTCGCAAGCTTCTCACCACGAGGGGAAGTGGGTGCAGGACCGGCGGGGCGGGGGCCAGGATAATTCCATCCCAGAGCTTTCCGGAACGCTCTCAGCGCGCTTCAAACTGCTCTGAGAGGGCAGCGGCGCCCCAGACGTCCTCCAGCGCCGCCACATCTCAGAGGTCCCCGAGGCATCCACACGCGGTGCCGTCCTCGCCCCAGCTGCGCTCCAGAGCGGAGAGCGAGCGGAAAAGGACAGCCGAGCGGAGGGCGGGGGGCGCCCTGACTCCGGATCCGCCCTACTTTGGGGAAATTAATAAATAGGGCTTGGAATTTCCGCCTTACTTTTCAAGCCCCGCTGACGCCAATTTCCGCCCTACTTTTCTGTTGTTGTGTCCGCCCTACTTCTGTTGATTTTCGCCCTATTCTATGTTGGGTGCAGAAATTTCCGCCCTACTTTTTCGGCTTCTTATAGGTGGATTTCCGACGCAGTTTTAAGTTGGGAAAAAAGCCAAAGTAGGGCGGATCTGGAGTCAGGGCGGGCGGGCGGCGCGCCGCGCCGCCCGCCACCGCGCTGGCGGGCCCCTGCGCGCGGCTCCCCCCCCCCCCCGCGGGCGGCGCGGCCGAGGCGGCGGCGAGCCCGCGGAGAAGGTGCCGGCCAGGGGCGGCGCGCCGAGCGCCGAGGGCGAGGAGGCCGAGGGGTGGCCAGCCGCGCGCAGAGGGTCACCACCCACCAAGCCGCCCCAGCCCAACCCGAAGGCTTCACTTTGTCCTCCATTTCCGGTGGGAGGGGGGGTCGGGGGACATGGGGAAACACACATCTGGAACCCGTACCCCCCCCCCCCCACCCCGACATTCCGGTGTTCGGGTTGGGTTGGGGTGGTCTGGTAGGTAGTCAGAGGCCAGAGGGGGCCTCGGGCCTCCCTCGCGGGAGAGCGAAGGGCGCGGCGGGCGGGGGAGAGTCGGAGAGGGGGCGGCGGGCCCCCCGCCGGGCCGCGCCCAGGGGGCCTCGGCGTCCCGCTGCCCCCCCCGCCCCTCTCCGTTCCTCCGCCCTTCCTCGGGGCAGGGAGGCATCACGTTGTGCTCGTGGTCGGACGTGGGGGAGGAGAGGGAGGAGAGGGAGGGGGAGGAGGAGGAGGAGGAGGAGGAGGAGGAGGAGGAGGAGGAGGAGGAGCAGGAGGAGCAGGAGGAGCAGGAGGACCGGGAGCAGCGGGAGCAGCAGGAGGAGGACGAGGGAGAGGCAGCGGAGGAGCGGGAGGGAGGGTGGCAGAGGCGACGGCGGCAGCAGGCGACAGCAACAGCATGAGGGCGCGACGCCATGTCCGCCGGCGGCCCCTGAGCGAGAACATCAGAGCGAGGCACAAGATCGAGGTCGGCTCGGGGAGGGGATAGCCGAGTGTTTTCCGTGTCGGTTGGCCGGCGGTGGGTGGCCTCATGTTTTTGGAGAGTGTTCTTCTGTCCTAGGTCAGGCCGTAAGGGGGAGGGGAGAAGGCGTCTTAGAAACACCCCTGCTTCTTAGAAGGCGCGGGCCTTATATCTATAAATGTAGGGCCCGCGCCTCCTACAGTCAGGTGACTATTGTTGGTATTGAAATTTTGAAGACACCGAGGAAGACGACGACTGTCGGACCGACTCAGGAAAACGACCGACGAATAACGATTAGCGACAACGGCGAACCACGGCGACGGCCGACTAACAGCGACGACGACGACGACGACGACGTCTGGGGGTTGGGTCGGGGTCCAACTGGGGCGCTGTGGAGGGTACAGTTGGGGGTGCATTCTGGTAATTAAATTCCGGGGTTCATTCGCGCTTCATTCAGGTTCATTCGGGTTCACTCGGCCCCAGCGGGTGGTTTCAAAATTAGCTTGGCGAAGAACCCAACCATATGCAGCTGTGAGTACCGCAGCCGTGAGTATCATCTTCGGTGGAGCTCCTTATGGGGGCACGAAGCGAATGAGGGCTGTGCCAAAGTGGGAAGGCGGCGGCACGCGGGCGCTGCCACTGGGGCCTTTGGTGGAGCTTCCTGCAGGGCCTTCGGCGGGGTTTCCTCTGTCTGTGATCTGCTCGATGGAGGGGCACGAGGAAAGCTTGACCGTCCAAGATGGCCATTCCCTTTTTTTCTCCTTGTTTGCCCGCGTACTCCAGAGTCCAAGGCTGCGGGTGCAGCGCAGCGCGCGGGTCGTCCGCTGCGCGGAGCAAAGAGAGCTAGCCAGCTGGCTGCCAAATAGCGGGCAAGGCTCCAGCCGCTGGGCAGAGCGACGGCGAGCGAGCGAGGCGTTGGGCAGAGCGCAGCACGGAGTTCCCGCGACGCGCGCTGGTCGCCCCGAGGGGATTCCAGCGACGCGCGCGGGTCGCCCGCGGCGCGAGGACGCACGGTTGGACAATCAAGAGAAGGCGCTGCTCGGGCGGGCCAGCTCCCAAGGTCAGGCCTCACGGATAAACTCGGTGAAGCCGAGCTCATTGGCGAGGGCCGTCGCCTCCCTCCTGCACCGCTTCGTGCGCGCCGCAAGCTGCTCCAGATGCTTCCGCGAGCCCTCCAGCGGCCTGGGGGCCTTCGGCCCAGCTCCCGACGGGGCCGCGAGCTGCGCGAGGGGTGTGCCAACATGGGCACGCGGCGGGCGGGGTGGGCGCATGCGGACGCTGCCCATGGGGCCTTCGGTGGAGCTCCTTAGGGGGCCACGCACCGCGCGAGGGGCGTGCCGACATGGACGCGAAAGAGCAGAGGCAAGGGTGAGAGGAGGAGAAGGGGGAGGAGGAAGGAGGAAGAAGGAGGATGCGGGGTACTGTCTCTTCGAATCGAGGACCCGACACCACGCGATGGTTGGGAACTACTTCGGATTTTGGAGGATTCGGAACCCGAGGTGGCACATTCGCCTGCAACCGCCCCTCCTTATATATGATGCAAACTAGCAGCGGAACCCCCGTCTCCGGCTGGGTGGGTGGAGAAGGGGAGGCGAGGGCCGCGTCCTTGAAGCGCCCGTTTTTAACAACTATGCTTGACCCGTGCGTTCTAGAATTTGGCTTCGGCCAGTCGCGGCCGGCCTTCAAGATTTAGCCTTCCAGAATTTTACGACGGCGTCCGTCGGTGTCGTCGGTCGTCGTTGTCGATCGGTCGGTCCGTCCGTCGTTGTCGTTGTCGTCGTCTGGTCGGTCGCGTTGGTCGTCGTATTCGTCGTCGTCGCCGTTCGTCGCTGTTGGTCGGTCGGTTTGTCGTCGTCATCCGTCGGTCGTCGCCGTCAGTCATCGTCCTCGTCGTTCGGTCGTCGTTGGTCGGTCGGTCGGTTGGTCGGTGGTCGTTGCCGTCGTCGTTGTCTGTTGTCGGTCGGCGCCGTCGTCGCCGTCGGTCGTCGTCTTCGGCGTTCGGTCGTCACTGGTCGATTTGTCGGTCGGTCAGTCGGTCGGTCTGTCGGTCGGTCGGTGGTCGTTGTCGTTGTCGTTGTCGTTGTTTGTTGTCGGTCGTCGCCGTCGGCCGTCGTCGTCGCCGTCGTCGTCGATCGCTCAGTCGGCCAGTCGGTCCGTCGTCGTCGTCGATCGCTCGGTCGGTCGGTCGGTCGGTCGTCGTCGTCGTCGTCGTTTGCGGTCGTCGTCGTCGTCGGTCGCTCGGCCGCTGTGTCGGTCGGTCGGTCGTTTTGTCGGTCGGTCGTCGTCATCGGCGTTGTTAGTCGTCGGTCGTCGCCATCGGTCGTTGTCTGGTCGGTCGGTCGGTCGGTCGGGTGGACTGGACGACTGTCGAAGGAGTGGGCAGCTTGAGCGGGCCACGCCTCCACCACAGCCTCAATATATTATAGTGGTTTGACCACACACACACACACGCACACACGCACCTGATTGTGAGGAGCAGGTTCCTTCTAAGAAGCCTTCCCCCTCTCCGCCTACCCCCTTGTGCGCGCTGTCAAGGCAGGGGGGCAGACCCTGACCCTGGATCTGCCATGGTTCTTGGGCGACTTCGCAGGTCGGGTGGGCATTCCCGCTCTATTTCTCGAGCTCCTTTGCTGTCGATGTCCGGGCCGTCGTTGTTATCGCAGTATGTTTGCTAAACTATCTGCCGGACTTTCCTGCGGCGGAAATGTTCGCCTTAGTTTTTCGCATCGTTCGCATCGCATTTCCGACGAAGTGGTCGAGGGCCCCTGTGAGGACCGAGAGGCTCGGCGCGCGAGCGAGGCGCCGTGGGGGCGTGCATGTGTGAGGGAGTGTGCGGCCCCTCCCTGCAGCACCAGGCGAGGCAGGATGTTGGGAGAGAGGCGTTCCCCTCCGAAGTTCTTTTGGGTGGGGAAAAACAGCGAGCGCTGTCTCACAGAATCTGCAATACGAATACGTATAGAGTGCGTCGCCCTAGCGAGGCCCACTCCTGGTTCTGCCAGCCTCCTCGGCGCGCTGGCCCCCCCGAAAAGAACCATCTCCTCCGCCCTCTCGCCTCGTCCGCCTGAGCGAGCGAGGAGCAGCAGAGCGAGGACGAGGGCGGCGGCGTCACCTTCGTGCTGGCCGACCCTGGGCCCCGGGGCGGGCTCATGGGGTACTACCTCGGCAAGAGGTGGGAGGGCAGGGGGGCCATGCAGGACGCATGCCGCCTCCCCTTGTTCCTTCCTTGTGCCTCCCTTTCCTCCTCCTCCTCCTCCTCCTCCTCCTCCTCCTCCTCCGTGCCCCCTCCTCTTCCTCCTTCTCCTCCTCCTCCTCCTCCTCATCCTCCTTTTTGTCCTCCTTCCTCATTCCTTCCTCCTTCCGCCTCCTTCCTCCTCCCATCCTCCTCCTCCGTCCTCCCCCTCCTCGTTCCGCTTCATCCTTCCTCCCTCTATCCTCTCCCTTCCTTCCTCCTCCCTGCTGTTCCTTTCGCTAACATCACGGAGTGGGGCCCGCAGGCCAGAGGATTCATGAAGGTGCAGGCGGACGAGTGATTGTCGGCATGGTGGAGTCCCACGCGAACGAGGAGGCAGTCGGCGGGGCGCGCGCGGACCTGGCACGTGACGGCGAGAAGCTCGTGGCCATTGCAGCGCGGCCCACTGGCAGATCAGCGGCAGGCACGTCGGGAGGAGAGCGGATCCTCGCCAAGAAGCAGATCCAGACCACCTCCCCAGAGGCCTGGAGAGAAAGGCAGCCCGAGGTGCACCTGGACAGGACCCGTTCGCAGGATTCCTCCCCCCGTGCGGGCACCTCAAGTCGGGCAACCTGATCGTCGTCAATGCCTACCTCCCGCCACAGCTCGGCTGCAGAGGCGCCAGCCAGCCCCTCGTCGGGCTTGTGCCTCCTTCCTCCTCCGCCGGGTGGGGGGCCCGTGGGTCGCCCTGGGCGACCCGAGAGTTGTGCCCGAGGAGCGTGGCAAGACCCAGTGGCTCACGGAGCTCAGCGCGGAGAGGCTCACGGCGGAGAGCTGCACAGCCACGCGCAGCAGAGGCGCAGGCAACGCCATCGACTGCGCAATCGTCACCAAGGGAACGGCGACCAGCATGAGGTTGCAGGCGGTCGAGGAGGCGCCCTGGAAAGACCACGTAGGCCTGAAGCTCACGATTGCGGACGGCAGGCAGCACTGGTTGCACCGCAAGCTCGACATTGCGCACGTGCCCCCGACAGTCCCGAGACCCAAGAAGGCGGCGGACCCCAACAGCAAACGGCAGAAGGCCTTAAAGAAGGCCAGAGAGGAGAGAACAGCGAGGCTGCAGGAGGGCCTCCAGGAAGCCTTCGCCGAGATCCACGACGAGGTTCACGAGCCTGTGGATGCAGCACGCACGCCGACGACCGCCTTCCACACCCCAGCAGAGTTGCGGGGAGAGGCGTGCGCAGCAGCAGAGACGAGGAGCCTGGGCCCAGGAGAGGTCCCCTGGCGGAGGACGCCCACCGCGTGCCCCGCCCGCTCGGGCGGCCGACGTAAGGCGCAGGACCGCAGATGCGACGCGCCCTCGGCGTGGCGGCCTGCGGGGGAGGTTGGCCCGTCACTGTCCCAGCGGGCCCCGCCTGCAGGGACCGCCCCCCCAGAGCGCGGCGCGAGCGGCGAGTGGAGCGCCGCCGCCAGAGGGGGGGGGGCGACGGAGGATGGCGCCCAGAGCCACGCCCGCAGACAGCACGGGGCAGTGGCTGGAGAGAGCGCCACGCAGCACGAGGACCACTTCCTGCCCATGAGGGGCCCCCAGGGCCAGAAGCGCGTCGACGGCCACTTCGCGAGGTGGGTCACGGCGCCGGGGCTGGCCGCGCCGGGGCACCACGAAGTGCGGCAGGACTGGCAGGGGCGGTCTAATTTCACTGGCAGGGGCAGCGGCTACGCTACCAAGTGGGCGCTGTCGTCGACCGCGCCTGCGAGAGCGCACCCGCGCGACCAGCGCTTCGAGCGGCGGCGCATCGCGGTGGCCTTGCTCAACAGGCGCGAGATGCTACGACGCACTGGGGGGGCCCAAGAGGCGCAGAGCTGCAGCAGCAAGATCGCCGAGCTGATGCAGAAGGCCGACGACACCCAGCTCAGCTTGATCTTCGACAAGGACGAGGGGAGCGACTTTGGCCATTGGAAGGATGTCAAGCGCAATTTGCAAGACCTCCCAGACGACGACGTGGCCCACTCATCCTGATTGCGGGGCGCTACCAGGAGAGGGCCGTCGCCGCGGCGATTGCCAAGTCGTCTAGGAAGTAGTTTCCAGAGCTGGGCCCTGAAGATGTGGAAAGACGCTACGCGGCACCTTCGCGCGAACGCTGCATTTGCCGGTCGCTCGGCCAGCATGGAAGCAAAACGC